TCAATCAAACAAAATCTCTTCCTCTTCAAACACGAATTATGATCTGAACTCAAATCAAAACTTAATCCCTCCCATGATCTCTGGGCAACAACCTCAAGCACAACTAGCTAATTTTTTTAATTTAAAAGCCTCGATCTACATTTTCATATCTTTGGATTTGTATATAATTTGGCCCCTAGTTTTCAAGAGTGGTGTTAAACATTCATAAAAAAATAAAAATAAAAAAATAATTTGAGCATTTTGCCGCTATTCATTTTTTTTATTGTTTCAGAAATTACAATTTACATCATAGATTAATAAAAATTTTAAATTTGAAAAGAAGCTGCCAATATATATAATTTACCAGAAATACCTGACATAGCAATCAAACTAAATCTCTTCCTCCTCAAGCAGGATTCTCTCTCTTCTCACGATGATCTGACCTCAATTCAAAACTTAATCTAGTGTTTTTAATTGAGTTTTCTTTTCTCATGATGAATAGGGTTTTTTCATACATGATTTCTTTCTCTTTGCATTGCTAAGATCTCTCTATTTAAAAAAAAAATCATTTTTCCTTAAAACCCTAAAAAAAACAAGTTGAAGATTGCAGACAAACTTGGTTTTTTATTCTTTGTTCGATTATTTTAATACATTAACATTGCAAATCTCTTATTATTTGTTAATGAGCAGATGGTTTATGATTTTTGTTTTTCTTCCATCGTTTGGGTTCTCAGGACTTTTTTATGGTGGTCACCACTGGTTTTTGTGTAATGACCAAATAATGATTGTTGTAATGTGTGAGAGAAAGGATAATGGATTATGGAGGCATGTGAGTGTTGTTCATGTGAGATTGCCAGTGTGGTTTTGATCTAAAAGAGACGAGTGTTCATCGGTGATATTAGTTTTCAGAACAGGAAAAGACAGTGCAGGGTGGCTGTGAAGGAGGGGGATGAGGGCTTATTCTACCAGAACAAGGCTTCAGGTACATGCTCAGGCTTGTTGCCTGAGTTATTCAAGATGAACTAGCCGCTTTAAAAGTCTACAAGCATTGCACCAACAATAACAACATGCATGTTTTAAGATCCTCTATGTGCATGATCCGTCACTTGTGGATTTATAAGCATTTCTCAATGCATATCTTCTCCATTTATAAAGATCAATTAATAAACTTGATTGATAAATTAAGAGCGCCGATAATGAGTTTATTGTAAATACTTCGGTCGTTTTAAGGTCCAGTAGAATGAGACTTTGTAAAAGATTAGCGTAGCAAAATCTTGGTTTGGAGACATGAAGGGTAAGATGGCGAATACAAGAAGGGCAAGTATAAATCCAGATTGGTTTCATTGATCTGGTGGTGATCGAGATCAAGGGGTGCGAAACATTATAATGAGCAGCGCGTGAGAGTAGAGCACGAGCGTGATCAATTACAGAGCGTTTCATGAAAAAGAAAAATCTACAGTGGAATTCACGCAGGAAAAAATACAAATAATAAGACAATAAGTTAGAAAAATAAAATTAAAATTAAAAGGTGTTGTCACATAAAATAATAATTCATAATTTTATTATTGGATGTTTATTTTTAAATTTTCTATCCCATCAAAAGATTCATAATTTTTAAAATAAATTTAAAAACTAATCCAAACAAACTAGAAAATCCAAAAATAAAAGAAAGACAATAAAAATCCTTAACAAACTAGTAAAAATAAAATTATCAAACATAATATTTGATTTATAAACTAAATAAAAAAAACTAAAAAACAAGTTATTTTTTCAGAAAATCTCTCTTACATGGGTCTTTATATTTTGAAAATATTTTGTTTTTAAATTCAAATCGTTACACTTTAAATATTATATTTGTCTAATTAAAATCTACTAATTATTTTTTTTTTCTTTTTAGGTGTATAACAATTTTAGATAGTAATTTCAATTAATTCATGTTAAATTTTAATAAAAAATAACAATTAACATATTATTTATACTTTATTGGTTTGTGGGTAATGAATTACCAACCTCAAATTTGCTTCTTTAATTTGTATTGCATCTGTATAACCTTTGAACAAGTCTTTTTTTGTAATAACATTAAGCCTCTAATTAAAATAATCAATATAGCTTCTTCTTTTTTGTTCAACACCTTCCATTTTTTTTTTCATGCACTTAACTTTTAACCTATCAACAAAGACATCATTAGTAATATTAGTATTATTTACTATTATTATATTATTGTTCATAACATCATCATTATTAAAAAAAATAAAAAAAATAATAAGAAATATCAATTCATATTTATCCAGTTACAAATATAATCACTAAAATCTCTATAATTCTTATCTCAATTAAAATATTTTTTTATTTACCTGCGCTTCTAAAATTAGTTCTTAAAATTGTTAATGGGCGTGTGATTAATCTCTCACGATTCCTTGGACTCATTACCCCTGCTAACTTATCAATTAATTTGAAATTTATCTTTGGGTATCTTTTATTATCAACTCAAAAACACATTTCTACTGTCATGCAATCTATATTTACATGTTTTTTTATCATAAATTCTTAAATGTATATTTCTTAAAAAGAAACCTTCTTATCTTCTTTTATATAAATACGTCTTGTTTTGCTACATCTTCCAACAACTGTTATTCCAGCACGTAGCATTAAAATAACCATTAGGATCATCTGGCTTTTATATCAACTTACATGAATGGAAAAATAAAAAAAAGATAACAAGTTATAAAGGTAAAATTAAGGCCATATAGGAATATCACACAAAACAGTTATTTATAATTTTATTATTAAATATTTTTTTAAATAATCTATCTTATCAAATGTTTACAACTTCTTAAATAAACAAAAAAACTAACCTAAATAAATAAGGAAACCTAAAAGTAAAGTAAAGAAAAAGCAATAAAAGTCATAAACAAATTAAAATTTTATTTTATCAAGCATGATATTTAATTTCCTGAGCTAGATAGAGAAAAAAAAAACAAATAACATTTCTTAAAAATCCTCTTGTATCAAGAATTAAGTTAGCATCTTGACCAATGCATTTTGGGTTTCTTTTTGGTTGCTGGATATCTACGTCCAGGTTAAAAAGGTGGTGACTTTTTTTTTAAAATGATAGAAAAGATATGCAGTCGTTAATTGAAATATAACGAGAATAGTAGAAATAATTTAACATTTTTTGTTGATTTTTTTTTTGTGTAACGTGTTATGAACTTTTAGACATTATGATGTAAACTTGTAGTTTTTTATATATATAAAATAGAAATAATATAAAACAATGACTATATTATAAGATACTTAGTGTGATTTTTCAATAAATAAATAAATAAATTTAAGAATGCACATAAGTCAGTAGTTTCATGAGATCCATCATCAGATTTTATTTTATTTGAAAATATAATGTAAATTATATTTTTATTAAAAATTAATTATTTTATATATTTTAGATTATTTTGAATGCGCTAATATTAAAAATATTTTTTAAAAATGATAAAACACCACTTTAATATATTTTAATATAAAAAACGTATTTTAAAAAAATTCAAAATATATTACTGAACATGATATTCATCAAGTCAAGGGAAGATTATCATGAATCTTTCATTAGAATAAAAATACAAGCACTCCTAGTTTTTTTAGAATTTGTTTTTCATTATTTGTTTTCTCATAATTTTCTCATTTTTTTAATACACACTTCATTTTATTTTTTAAGTTTTTCACTTTAAAAAAAAAAAATACAAGCAAACGTGGCATCTTGAAAGTAAAAGCTTAGTTTTTTTTTTTTTAAAAAAAAATTGCAGTTAACTCTAGTTAAGAATTCAAAATACAAAGACTCTTGAATCTTCACAAATTTTTTTATCACTATCTATAATTTCTTGTTCTATCACAATTTAATCATCTTTTACCAATACACCCTTCATGTTTTTTAAGTAATCCAATCTCATCCACTGCAGCAAATTTGGCATTTTGAAAGGAAAATCTGAGCTCCTTTTAACATCATAGCCATCTCTAGTTAAGCAACCGATATATAATTCTTAAAACTAAAAATTCTTAGACACAAAATAATAATACTGACAGGAACTAAAAAATATCACCTACCTTACATAAAATTTAAAGGATGTTTGTTCATGAGATTGTTGAGTTGTAGTTTAAAATTTAAGTTAATTTTTTAAAGTTATTTTAATATTAAATATTAAATATTAAAAATTATTATTTTAATATATTTTTAAATAAAAAATTAAAAGACAGTTTCGAGATAGTCTCACAATCTTAGGCTGTATTTAATTTTTAGAAAAGTATTTTTTTAAAAAAATTAGATTGAAAATACCTTTTGAAAGTTATGAAAAAATTAAAAATACTATTTACTGATCATGTTAAATTTGATGCTCAAACTTTTGATTGCCATATAATTTTGTTTTGAATATTTATTTTTTAATTTTATTTTTTAAAATTTTATTTTTATATTAATTTTGATAATATTTTGATAATTATTATTTGCCTTTTTCTTAAAAGTTTTTATTAAAATTTTTCATTTATCAATTTTGATTCTTATTTTTTTTATTGTTACTTATTTTATTTGAAATTATTTGTGAAATGTTAATTATTATTGTTTTAATTTTTTTTTAATTTTTAGATTTGATCTCTATTATTTTGATTATTATTTATTATATCTGAAAAAAATTATAGAATTATATTTTTTTAATTTCATTTTCATACAACTTTTTAATTTGTAAATTGTTTTCTCATTATTTTAATAATACTGAGAAAAATAAAATATCAATAAGTTATTTTTTAATTTATTTTTCATAACATAACTAAACATTGAAAAATATTTTTTAATTTATTTTTTATTATACTATTAAATATTAAAAAATAATTTTTTTCTTAAAAATTTATTTTTTCAAAATTTATTTATTTTTTAAAAATTACTTTATAGCAAAAGAGGGTTTAACTACTTCGTGTTTTCGTTTTCTTTTCCCACTGTTTATTGCCGACGTTGTCCGTACACCAGCCCCAGTGCTTCATTTTAAAAAAAAAATAGAAAAAAAATCCAAAAAATTCAAATCTTTGCGCCTCTCTAGAAACTGAAATTTCAACCTACCGAAAGAGAAAAAACCCTATCTCCCCGCGTCAATGTCACGCTTTTGAAAAACAAAAACACACTGTGTCCCTCCCTCCCTCCCTCCCCTCCCTCTAAGACTCGAATCCGGACCCTTCGAGTTCGATCCAAAATAACCAAGCTCTCTCGCCATTACTTGGTTTTTTCTCTCTAGAAAATCAATCAATCAATAATGAGGAAAGGAGCCAAGAGAAAGAGAATCCAGAAAGATAATAATGAAGACGAAGCTGCTGCCGTTCCCGCTCAAGACAACCACAGAACCACCGAAACGACGAAACCAGCTACTAGAGCTAAGTCAGTCAAGGCATCCAAACCCGAACCCGAATACTTCGAAGACAAGCGCAACTTGGTATTCTAATCTTTCTCTTCCTCCCATTACTGTGTTTCAATTAGTTTATTTTGTTGGATTTTAGAAATTAATTAATCTAAGTTTTTTCTTTTTATATATTAAAAAACTTAGGAATAATTTGTTCAATTTCTGTTTGTTAATAGGTTTTTAAAAATGAATGAAATCGGATATTTTTCCGTAGGGTTAATTATACTGTTAACCAATCAGTCAATTAATTAAACAGTGGAAAAGCTTAGCTCTGAGTTTAAGGTTAATAGCTGCAGTTTGGCAGTTTGTTAGTTTAGTTTAGTTTAGTTTTATTTTTTTTCATTTTTTTCTTAATTAGGTTAAAATTCTTGAACTGAGTAGTAGTGATTTTATAGTAAGGATAGTTTGGAATTTTTTTGTTGAATTTTTTAAGTACCGTGTTAATTTTTTTTTAAGCTGGTCAATTAAAAAAATCAAGCATTGTGAAATTGTTTTCTTATGCAGGAAGACTTATGGAAGGAAATATTCCCTGTCGGTACAGAGGTTAGATTTTAATTTTTATCCTGTTCTTTTCTTTGTTGGTTAATTAATTATGTTGTTATAGCTTACAATATTTCCTTTTTGTACAGTGGGATCAACTGGACAAGGTTTACGGATTCAACTGGAATTTCTCTAATCTAGAGGTGGTTGTCATAAAATCACCTATATCTTTCACTGCGTAGATGGTTTTTAGAATGTGTGTAAACTGAAACTACTGCTCTGACTGGTCAGAATGCATTTGAAGAAGGAGGTGTTCTACATGGGAGGAAAGTTTACCTTTTTGGGTGTACAGAGCGTGAGTTACTTTCTAACTTGAAACCTTAATTTTTTTTCTAAGTCTTTGTGCCCAGGCTTTAAATAGCCAGGCATTACTTTCTTTTTTGCTTGATTTTCCCATGCCCTGCCCTTTTCTTTTGCCATATGAATCTTACTTTGTTTCTTTGGTTTCTTCAGCTCAACTGGTCCCTTTCAAGAATGAAAGCCTATTAATCTACATACCTGCAGTCGTGGCAGTAAGTTTACTGAAACAGTTACTTTTGCATGCACTTTGATGTATGTATGTTCACCTATGAAATTGTCAAGGAGCAGACTTTACAAACACCTTTTCTTATTGCATATTTTTACATTGGTTTGTTTCATGATGAAAGTAACATGGGCTTTTTCTTCACTTAATCTGATAAAAGGTTTAGCTGTGTCCGGTTATGGCTTTACGTTGTCCCCACCTTTACACCTACTTAAATCTCATATAATACGGATGTCAGGTTTCAAAAGCCCTAGATATATATGTCCAAGAAGTGCTTCCATGCATTGAAGCACAATCCAGGAGTGAAAAGGTCATAGCGCTCATAGACATTCTACATTTCCTTTATGGTAATAGCGGGATCACAGATCTCTCCTTTTGAACTTGGCAAAGTGAGAATGTTGGTTCTACAATTGGCCCTACCTTTACACCTAGTTAAACCTTTTATAAGATGAACTTAAAAGGAAGCCTATGTTTGACTACGAAGATGTCCATTTTGTGCTGTTCTTAAGGCTATAGATTAAGAGCTTGAGAATTTACCTCTTAGATTGTTACTTTTCCCAACACCACATTTTTTCTTCCTAAGAGTTGTTTCATCACATATTTCATTATCTGTTATAATTTCAGAAGTACAGTTGCAGATTGGTGTTGTTGTGAAGACAATTATCTCTAGTCTTCCTTGAAAAAGAAAATAAAAAAATAAAAATCCTTTATATTAATGGAGGCTAGTCATTTCTTGCTGCTGCCTTTCTATTTATTAAACATATTCTTTTACAGGTTGCATCTCCTTTCCCTCCATCTGATAAGATTGGAATTAAGTCGGTTCAGAGGGAGGTTGAAGAAATAATTCCCATGAAACAAATGAAAATGGATTGGGTTCCTTATATACCTCTGGAAAATAGGTATCCAATTTTTATATTCCAATGTGCATTTCTACACGATTTCATGGAGTTTCTCTTTTCCCAATTTTTTTTTAATTATATATTTTGCTCAATGTCTTTTTTGCAACTCAAATCCTTCTCCAGAGAAAGTCAAGTTGACAGACTGAGACATCAAATTTTTATTCTGAGCTGCACTCAGAGAAGGTACCTTGCTTCCCTCTCAATCTTCCTGTACACGCACAATAAATCATTTCTAGTGTTTTATATGATGTTGTTTCTTACCCTATAGTTATTACTTAAAAGTTCTTTTGGCTGCCTTTTTAATTTCCTTGAGCTGTATGTATGGAGAACTGTTCCGATTGGTTTTTGAATGTTGATTTTTATGGAGCTCTGCTCTAATTTGTTTTTGTATGTAGACTCTCGGTTATCAGGACAAACTGCTCTTTAAGTTCTTTATTGCTGCCCATTTTCATTACATATGTTGATATCACAGTTTGTTCTTAAATAATCGTTACAAGCATACATGGTGCTCAAATGTCTCATGGGCATTTCTGGACAGCTTGTTTGGTACTTTTTTTGGATAATCCAGTTCCCAGATCTCAGTTCCTGCTTTTGAGAACCATTATCACAGTTTGGTCCTAAATACACGTGGTAAGCATGCATGGTGCTCACATGTCTTAGGGCCATTTCTAGACAACTGGCGTGGTACTTTTTTTAGATAATCCAGTTCTCAGTTCCTACTTTTGAGAACCATTATTATATTATTTATTTAACAGAAATAACCTCACCTTTTGCTACATTTTGGTTTCTCATTTTACATTTTTTCTTGGTTATATATACCTTTTATTATGGCTGTTGGAGACATTCTGTTCAATAGACATTTAAGTGTGATATGAAGAAAATAATGAGACATAAAGACACATCTGGGCTTGATTTTTAGCAAAATAGAAGCTAGAGGAATCAACATTTTTATGTTCATAGATCTGCTGTTACACTTACAGCCAGCATGTTGTTATTGCACAACAAACTTGAGAACTTAAGACTCGAGCTTCCTTCAGCAGAATATTTTATAACCTTTTCACTTTTTAAGCTTCCTTTCTGGTTCTCCAATTCATTAATCATTGGAAGTTGAGGTACACATAAGCATACCATATTTTATGAGAAATATTCAGGTTTGTACTGTTTCATTGAAATTTTCAGATACTATGATGTTTGTGTATCCTTACATGTGTCTATTCCTGTTGCCTGTGCACATGGATTGCTTGCAGGGCCGCTTTGAAACATTTGAAGATAGATCGGATCAAGAAATATGAGTACTGCTTACCTTGTGAGTTTTGAGGAAATTTCAGATATGTAGATTGCTGTATTCCACACAAACTTCTTTTTACTTAAACAGTGTTGTGAAAATAATGGAAAAAAGTGCTCTCTAAGTTCTGATGAGTAGAAAAAGTTAGTGGCCACAACACCTATTTCCCGAACAATGTTTGATTGTTTGCTAGATTGATCAGAGCAGAGGATAATACAGCTCATGTATTAGCTTTTAGTGTTCTGTCATCTTTTATTGCTAATGTATAGGGAACTGTTCTATTCCTCTGACATGCTTCCCTTTTTTGACAGATTTCTACAACCCCTTCAAGGAAGATGAGCTTGAGCAGAGCACTGAGGTTCAGATAATTTTCCCATCAGAACTAAAGCCGGTAAGTGAATAGCATGTAAGAGAAACAAATTGATGGAAACCAAAACCTTTGGATGTTGATGGATTGCATGATTTGAGATTGGTTCAGAAATTACAGTCTATGGTTAATTAAGCAAACTGCTGTGCTTAGTTTAGTTGTGATGATAAAGGTAGCACTGATGTACGATTCAGTAAATTGACCTTCTATCATTAATAACTGCAGATTTTCTGTGAATTTGATTGGGAACTTGATGAACTTGAGGTAAGAGTTCTATTTCTGATGTTTTTTTCTTAGTTTGACCTAGATGGTTTTTCATGAAGTTTCTCTTTTCACGTCTTCTGTCTTTTGAATGTATCATAACCACTGTTGACAGACATCATGGGAGAATTGGTTTGAACATGTGGTTATGATAGTTGTCTTATAAATCCACCACCGTGGAGCTGGATTCTCCTGCTATTTGAAGGAATGATGTAGAAATGGTGTTATGCTTATGAACATATTCTTACCTCCCCTTGTGATTATACTTGTCCTATCATTGCTCAACTTTGTCAAAATTCTTTCCTGAACCACCACCCTACCCACTGCAAAGAAAGTACAATTAATTTATATTAAGATTTACCTATCAATCTGCAGGAGTTCACTGATAAACTGATCCAGGAGGATGAATTATCTGAAGATCAAAAGGATGCCTTTAAGGTGAATTTTGTTAAATATATTTGAATATCTCATCGTTTCATCTTATTTTTGTTAATAATTGAACCTTGCATATTTCCTTTCTTAGGAATTTGTTAAAGAGAAAGTTCGAGAAGCAAAGAAAGCTAACAGAGAGGTAACTTGTTTGGTTCTGTTTGGTTTGGGAGCATAAGTAGGCAGTCTTTGATCTGCTTTCTAACAAGTTTCCTTTGATGCAGGCAAGGGAAGCCAGGAGGAAGGCCCTGGATGAAATGAGTGAGGAAAGTAGACGAGCATTTGAGAAGTTGAGGTTTTACAAGTTCTATCCTGTGCAAACACCTGATACACCGGACATATCAAATGTGAAGGTAAAGCGTTGTCCACAAGGACATGCAAAAACAGCTTTTGATTAATCAGAGTTTGTTTTTCTATTCTGATTGTAGTTCAATAGCTAGCAAACTTTGTGATTGCCCGTTCATTTTCCAAGTAGTTGGAATACAAAGTTAAAGGAGGACATTATTCAAGTCAAACATATCATCCCTCTTTCAAATCCTGTGTGCCCGTTTCATTTTATTATCAGAGCATGCATATTGTCCTTGAATGAGGTATACAGGCCTGTCTTACCTCTATGAGTTTTGTATTGTTGTCTGGTATTATCTCTGGTGTATGCAAAAACACCCAAATAGTCAGGGTTCCATTATTTAAAGCAGTTCCATATTGAATATGCTTTCTGTGGGAAAATTCTGTGGATCAAGGTCTTTTGTCTTTTGAATGCTACAACCTTTAGGGAATGAGTAATTATTTATGGGTGGGTTTCAAGTTTAGATTGTATGATTAAGGTTTCTTTTATACCCCATTGTGTCCCTCAGTTTTGTCAGTCTACCGTTCCAACTTCTCAAGGGAACATCTTAAATTTTCCATTCATTCTCTCGATTTCCAAGGATTAATAGATTGTCCCAGTTCAACAAGGATCGTACAAGCAGACCTTGCATTTTCTCTTTCCCGAAAGTGGATTATCTGATATTTGCTTGTTATTTTTGCTATTTTTCCTTGCAGGCATCCTTCATAAACAGGTATTATGGGAAGGCTCATGAGGTTCTATGAGTGGATACATCGAGGACAAGCGTGACAGTTTGAAGCCTGCTTTGGCCGCAAGGAATCAAATTTGAAGATTTTGTTCACCATGAAGATGGGAGTCATGCCTGTGGGGCCTCGTTATAATCTTCGCTTTATCAGTCTAGGTGTCTCACGGCATGTAAACCTTTTAGTTTCAGAATTTTTTTGACAGTCAGCACAAGGTGTACACTAGCAGGCATTTGTAAGATAACACTGTTGAGGGCCATCACATTTTCCAGTTATAGAGTTGCAGGTGGTGAAATTCACCTGATGCTTGGATCACTCGTTGTTTCCCCATACATTCCTCCCAAATATTTGTTCTGATATAATTAGTTTTATTACCAGAAGTTAGTCGCAAAACAATATGATTTATAGCATTTCAACTCCCTGTAATAAATGACCGCAATGCATTGGCCTGCGTTCTAAATTTGACCGGTGGTCTGAGGACTCGAGCAAAATTAAAATCTCATTGGTGTGTTAGGTGAACGATTATTTTGGTTATTAGCAGTGTGGCCTTAAGATTTATACTTTTAGAGTTCAAGGGAAAATAATAAGATTTCATTTTGGAAATTCATTATTACAAACGATTAGTTATTATTTATTTTCATAATACGATACATGACAAAAGCTCAAAGAGCGAAGTTTACTCTTTTAGAGTTCAAGGGAGATGAGCATGAATGGTTTGGAAAAGATAATATATATATATATTTTAATTTATATAGTGTTTAGAACTCATTTTATAAATTTTAAAATTAAGCAAGCAGCGGTGCCGTGGGATAGAAACTTAAACACGAGACAGCACAGAAACCATCTATTACCCATCCGTGCATTAGAAAAAAGCACGACACCCTTTATACTGTCTTGTCCTATGGTGTCCCGTGCATACAAAAAGACACCCTAATAATTATCAGTGTGGACACTTTAACTTTAATCTAATGTCTTGCAAGTTATATCTGCTTTCAACATGATCCCAATTCCCAGGTGCCACTTCCTCAAATACTTTCCGCATAAAACCCTAGCCATAGAGATGATATTCAGGATGTTTGAAAATATTACAAGGTTGTTATGTAAGGTATTTTTTGTTTAAAATTATTTTTAACATCAATATATTAAAATAATAATAATAATTTTAAACTAAAAACATTCAATTTTTTGAGCAACACAGCAATACCAAACACTGCCTGCAAGATGATCCACGCACACAAGAAGAAAAGGCTCCATTTCAACTATGATATAAACTAACATATCAGTTCACGAATATTTGAACACTAAATGCTGCTACCATGATACAGCATGACAATTCACTTAACATTACAACCGACCTGCGATGCAACTTCTGCCTTCTTTTTGTTAAGCATCCCTAGCTAATTTTGCAGTGACTGAAGCATACAAAATGAATAAATAAACCCAGCTGCCTACATAATTTATTTAGCCCAAGCACAACACTTAGGCAGCTTGGTGTACAGTACAAGTACATGACATACAAATAGACAGGAGCTTGACCGGTTGCGATATGAATGGGAGCCTCAATCACCCGTTTTGGGACACGTCATGTTCGGTTTTAACAGAAAAATGATTTGTCCATTCACCTGGGCCAGCAAATGGCAAAAGACCACAGCACAATGGTAAAAACAAGATGGAGGTAGCGTAGAAAAGTAATTTCCGGAGCCAATATGGAAATATTGTGTTGGGTTTTGTCCCTTGGGAGATTGCAACGACGGGGCCATGAAGTATACGGAACAAAGTTGGTGTGAATACATTTGAGAAGAACTGCAGCGAGCATAAAGCTTCCCAATACAGAAGCCAGAGTGATCCACTCCCTCCCAGTGTATCGACACAAAGTTTGCCAGTAAAACCACAGACAGCTCCCAACAGTAGCAGAATGAAAGTTATTGGCATTGTCCGGTGTGAACTCGAGGACCGTTGTACAAGCAAAAAAGCAACTGCAAGAATAATTAGGATTCCAAACGCCATTTGGCTCACAACTTGAACTTGACATATCAGTATCTGCAGCCAGGAATTAAAGGATGAAAAAGGCCTGACAAACCAACCGAATTTGGACTCCTGAAACACAGCCAGAAACATAGAATTTTTCCTCAGCATCTGATATGAAATTAACAAGAGAAAAGGAGTATATAGCAAAAAGAAATAAAAATCATTTGCTACCAAAGGTATGGCATGGCAATTGTCTAATCCATAGACCCAAGGTTGGTGCTAATCCCACCCCTTATTTGTTGTTCCCTGTCAATAATTTCATTAAGTGACAAAACTAACCTCAATTTAATTCCTCAAAACTTCAAATAATTAAACCAATTAAATTCTTTTAGATGTACATGCCAAAAAAAAACATAATTTCACATTAGCAATGCAATTTTCTATTACACACACACACGCACGCACAAATAAATGTACTTAAAATTCATGAAAAGTGTTGTAAAATGTATCTGCATTTCTAATTGTTTTTAATATACTATTTTTGTTTATGTTAAACATTGTTTAGATGACAAAACATTACTATTATCACTCAATGACATCATTAAGAGTATCTATATTATAGCAGATACAAAGTGTTCTACATTCTATTCATTATCATAAACATATCATATTTTTTTTAAAATCTAACTTGTAAATTATAAAATATTTTTTACAATAATGATTTTGAACATTACGCTATATATTTCAATGAAAACAAAAATACTATTAGCACATTCAATTTAGATTTTAAGACAGTATTCTTTTATAAATTTATATTAGATTTATAGTGTATAGAATTGATGGTGCTTTAATTATATATGAGAACATTCTAAATGAAGGTTAATTTGGCCACCTCATAATGTTAGGGAGCGGGAATAGTGTCAACCTAGACCCAAGATCACAAAACTAGAAAGGGTTTAAAACAAAGACATGGTATTAGACATGGAAACAAAGCTAAAGAATTTTCTTTCTGCTCGTGATTAAGACTAATTTGGATCAAGATTGCTAAATCATGTTTAAACTTGAAAAGGAGAATCCGGTCACAATTTGCCCAATGAGAAAGGTTGTCCATCATTTCTACTTTGTCAAATTTCAGACATCAAGGGATGATTAGAATATAAAGCCTGTCCAAGCCCTAACCTTTATCAACTACCTCAAGGATCGAAGTTAATATGCTGCTTATAATATAATAGTTTTAATTAAAAATACACTTTTAGCAGCCTCTCTCTAGTCTCTCTGTTATTTCTCAAGGAAGCACCTTTGCTAGTACCTAGTACGAGAAAGAAAGCATATAGAACCAGACCAGAATACCAACAAATATGATAATTACACAAATGTCAAGAAACTAAATCAAATGACATTAGCAAGATAAGCAATAAGGCATGGTCCTTGCCTTGTGTAACTGAGAGCAGGATGCAGTAGCTTCTTTGATCCTTCTGTATGAATAAACATATGTACTGTATGAAAGTGAGGCTGACATGATGAACAAACCAGCAACAAGACAGTCAACGCAATTTCTATGCAGCTCAGCATGCCTTGTGTCTTCTAATTGAGTCTTGAACTTGTCAGCTTTAAAGGATGCCTTTGACATGCCCATTACTAATTTTGATCTCTCCAGATAGTTTGATTCTGAGGTGAGATTCAACAATTCCTCATCCAACTTCAATCTTTTCATTGCAACACCAATCTCCAATGCCTTCAGGTCATTAGAACGGACTTGCTCCACAACAGATTTCTCAATATTGTTATACATGTTAATTAAAGGGTATGAACTAGGAGCACAAGCCAGCTGGCTGGCTGCCCCGTGCAGGACAAGTTCTTGACCCAAGCAACCCACTGATATGTTCTCTTCTACCTGCTCAGGTTTATGGGTTTGACCCTCAGTTGAATTATTGGGCAAGTCTGTTTCTGAATCAGAGTCTTTCATACAGGCACTATTTGTACAGCCATCTCTTTTATTGAGAGTCCTGTTTGAAGCAGATATTTCTAGGTTCTGGTGAATTAAAGTATGCGGTCCACAGTTGATAGACGATTCATTAATCAATCTAAGAGTGCTCAATGTGCTCCCAAATGATTTCTGAAAATTCCTTGCGAAGAAATCAAATTTGTTACCAAAGACCTGTTGCAAATAGGGTGTAAAGAATCAAGCGCATTCATATAAGTCAGCATTTTGTGGCCTGTCTGATGTTGACAAGTACATGAGGAAACTTGACTTGTAAAACCAGAGTCAATGGATGAGTGAGCAGTTAAGGTCTGGCTTACACTGGCTAAAGATTCTCTGACAGCTGAAGAGCAGATCTGCACAAAAGTAGACAAATTAAGATTGATTTAATTCCCAATATTCCAAACATCATTAATCTTAGAACAAACAGATTCAATAGCAACGGGAAAGAGCCTATAAAAAAAAAACCCAAGTATGCTGCAGCAAATTTTTCTGTTGCAGTGAAAATTTTACTAAATGGGCAATTTCATTGATCTGATTGCATTGTTGCCTAAATATGAACTGTATAACAAGCAGTCCATTTGAGTTAAAAATCTAGTATGTTATTCAGTACGCAGATAAAAGATGTACAGCAGAAGGGATGTAAACCATAGTGATGACATCATAGATCTATTTCTGAGAGGTGAATATAAAGTTCATGTTAGGCTAAAAAAAAAAAACTTACCATTGAAAGATGATCAACAGACATCCTTTCACCTGCAGCATCTTTCCTCTCCAGAACCTAAAATTAGAAGGAAAAAAAAACAGCAACAAATGAACAATATCAAATGACAAATACTAATGTGAATCCAAGAAAATCTTGACAAATGTGCACATTATTTACATTTATTTCTAAGACCAGAGCATAAAACTGGAGACTTTGCCAATGGAGTCTTAAGTGGTGATGCATCACTTATTTTGCACATCTCCTCTGAACACTGTTTTGATAATATAAAATTATCAAAATTCAAAACTATTCAGATCTGGTAACATAGCATACCTCAGAAAACATTTTTTTGAAAAAACAAAATTGAATAAAGTATTGAAACAGTTAGGTATGAAATGGAAAATTATAATTTCTCATGTCCAAAATAACTAGCACGTATGATAAAAGATGCCTGAGACCTTGCTAATTGACAAAAACTCTCCAGTGTCTCCATTCCAGTAAGAATGCGATTATGTATTTTTAATGAGACATTTTTCATAGGGCAAGCCATTTCATTTGAAAGTTCAGAAATCCCACAGGAGAGTGCTGAAACGTACATAGGGGATACTGAAAGAAACCATAGGGAGAAAAAACCTATATATATAAAACAATTAGAAATTGAAAATAAAATCTTAAAAAGGAAGAAAATCGAGTTCAAGTTTTTTTTTTTAATGCTTTGTTTTTACAAAGATGGAAGACTATAATAAAATTGGCAGTCAAGACCAGAAAGACTCAGCGTTTAGGCGAGCTGCTCGGTATCTCAGGTTCAAACAAACAGCTGTGAAGATGTTTTAGGGTTAACTTTATAAACAATCACCAATCTGTTTGGTATACTTAAGAGAAGGCAGAGTCCAGTCCACCTTTTGATTCACCAAAGATAACATATTACAAGAATACAACTGATGCCATTAATGGACATCCCACAAGAACAAAAATTCTCATTGCATGAGTAAATATAAACTGTCAACGTAATATCAAAATTAATTTAATCACCAAAAGATATTAGACTGCAAACATGATGTTGAATAAAAAACTGGACACTGCTTTGGACACACTAATTATACATATATCGATGTATAAATCAAAGAAGGCCATAAGTTATAGACTTGAATGTATTAATGTAAACAAAATAAGAATCATGCAACAAACGATATGTGCGCATGCTAAAAGCATGTAATGTGTATGCCATATGATATGCAGATAGCAATAAAACATCCACATTAAGCATCACATAACAGGCTTGTCTCTACTGCTTTCCCGAAACACCAAAACAATAGATACAAGGTAGATATCTATCTCAATGACGTTTATATACATAACCACAATTGTACATCAAATGCATACATTTTCCATAGGGTTGCTTAAAAACCTTTTATTCACAGTCCATTAATCATTTTAATGCCAACTATCAGAACTTAAATTCAAGTCAACACTGAATTTCATGCATAATATAGTTGATCAAAAGCTAAAATCCAAGTGCTTGTAACTCATCTTTGAGTTCCATAGTTGCACATCTAAATCAATACATAAACTTAAGGACATTCAAAGAGCTAAACACTCCACAACATCAAAAATTCATCAACAATCTCCTTAACCTTACATAAGTATCTATCTCCATTCCAACAAATCAGCAAATTTTATCTAGAAAAGCAATAACCAATAGCAAACAAATCCCAAACCCGATTAGACAGTTAAACAAACGCCAATCAATTTGAATAACATATAAGCAAATTGCCATAAAAAATTTCCCAATGCACGCAGATACAAACCCTAGTTGCCTAAAAAAAACTAGAAAGACACAATTAAAAAGAAACCAGACTTGAAGCTACATCAAAATTTCAAACTTTATGAGCCAAAATCCCTAATTTCAATCAACATAGCACAAAAAACACAGAAAATTGAAGAAACCTGAGCAACAACAGCAGCAAAAGACATTCCAAGAGGTAATGCAATAGCCTCCACACCATCATCCCCTATACCACGCCTGCGCCTAACCGGAGCAAAAACCACCTTAGGGCTTCTGCGTTTGTGTGACACGCGCGGACTTTTATTCACAGAAGAAGAAGAAGAAGAAGAAGAAGAAGAAGAAGAAGAGGTTGGCTGTGATGGGGGCGGTGTCATGGCTGTGTCTTTAAAGACTCCTTTTTTCTTCCTCTTGTTGATGGTTTTTGGGTAACAATCATTCTCCACAGTTGGATTTGAATGATTAGTCGGGGTCGGGTCTTGGGTCGAGAGGGAAGGAGATGGAGCGGTGCGTTCCATGGAAGAGTACAGAGTAGGAGGCCTCGTGGACCGATTTTTAAAATCTCATAAATAACAACAGAGAGAGAGAGAGAGAGGAGCGTTTGGTAAATATTGGAACAATGGAATTGGATCCACAAAGCTTATGCATGGGGGTTTGACTGTTTTTTAGCTTTTGGACCGTGTCTGTACTGTTTATTCATGACATAATTAAACCTAGTACCTGTACTCTTAATTTTCATTTTCTTTCTGAGTCTCGTGCTCCTCCTAGATTTCTTTTACTTGATTTTTACCACGTTCTATCAGTAATTCAAGATTGTGAAACAAAAATCAAACACTGGAGAGGGACAGGATCTTCAAAAATCTTAAGCACAGGAACTTAAATGGAAAAATTACAAAGGTTTAAGTAGTAAAGATATGGTTAGGATGCGTGTAGGAGGGCGTGTTCTCTCCAAAAGAGGCATTCCAAATCCAAGAAACTCGGTAAAATGTTCGTTTTTTTTGTTTTGCCTATGAAGTTCATGTTTGGAGGGAACAAGTTATAAGTGCTTGTTGGATGGTTGTGAGATTGTGCTGTCTGTTTAACAATCATGGCAGATCCACTTGTAAGTTGCCACCCAACCCAATAAGACAACAGTGTACAGTCACATTCGACCCAGTAAAACTACCCTGCAACTGTAAAAATCCTTTTTGATCTGTTATCTCAGTATTCTTTACTTGCTAACTATAATGGTGAAATTGCATCGTTATAGTTATTATTAATAATAAATTAAATAATAGGTGGTGATTTTGTTGTGCACTCTCTTGTGAAATTACTATTTATTATAATAGTTTTTTATTTTATATTTATATTTATTTTTATCATTTTATATTTTAATATTTAATTTATTAAAAATTAAACTTCACAATTTATTAAAAAAAAATTTATAAAATTATCTTAATATTCGAGTTATGAGTTTAGTGGATTAACTCAATTAAATCAAGTTTTTTTATTTTTTTAATTAATGTTTTTGCAACCTCGTCCTTTGATATTGAATTAATTAAGGTTGTTTTCTATAGAGTTATTTTGATTTTATGAATTAAGGTTTTGTATGTTAACTCGAGTAAATATAAGTTATTTTACTATATTATGTTTTTAGATTGGATTTTTTAAAAAAATTTCATCATTCGGTGATGGAATTAATTAAGGTTGTTTTCTATAGAGTTGTTTTGATTTTATGAATCAAGGTTTTGTATGTTAACTCGAATAAATATAAGTTATTTTACTATATCATGTTTTTAGATTGGATTTTTTTTTTAAATTTCATCATTCGGTGATAAGTTTAATGAAAATTAGGTTTTATAATTTATTTTGTGTGAGGGTTATCATAGTTTTATGATCCTAGTTGTGAATTTAACATGTTAACAAAAGTTGATTTTGATCCTTTTTTTGTTTATTTTTTATGAGGTTATTTTGACCTTATGATTCAAATCACGGGTTTGACATGTTGACCCGTAATATTTTTTTATTAATCATTTTCAATTTAACCCTTTAACATTAGGTTAATTGATAATTGAATTTTCTAATTTGTTTTGATTTGGTTTATATGAAATTATTATAGTCTTGTGATCCATCTCATGAATTCAATAAGTTAACTAGGATTGATACATGTCGATCTAATATGTTGTCATTTTAATATTTTTTATATAAAAAAATATCGAGTTGAATTCTTACGGGTTAAAGTATGTTTTTTCTAGTTGTCTGGTTTATCTTTAGATTCATCAAGTCGACTAGGTTATATCAGGTCAGCCTTTATATGATTTTTGTTTACTATAAAAGTGTTATCAATAATATACCCTTTTATGCATGTAACTTGGAATCATTTCATATGCATGTAACTTGAAATCATTTCAATGATTCGTTAGATTATTAGATTTAGCACATATTATGCTGCATGATTATATTTTAATTGTTAAAGAAAACAAGAATTCAATATAAAAATATCAAAATGTAAAACAAAAGGGAATCTCATGATCAATCCAAGACTTGTAGGAAAAAAAATCATGCTTAGTCCATTTACTTTCTCTCTTCTCCCTTCACAATTCCTTTATTTTTTTCTGCAATTTTAACTTTGATTTAAAATCTTATTTTTTTAATATTTGAGTTATTGAAATTAAAAGAGGATATAAAGTTGTCTAAAAATAACAAGAAAAAGAGAAATTCAAAGGTTTGACTGCATTTTAACATAAAAAATTGACCATAGTGTTAATAAGTTTAACTCAATATGAGAATTTTATTAAAGTGTTTTGAATTTTCATCTTTAAAAAAATAAATTAGAATAGTGTTAATAAGTTTAACTCAATATAAGAATTTTATTGAAGTGTTTTGAATTTTCATCTTTAAAAAAATAGATTAGAAACAAGAGAGAAATTCTTTTTATTTTTATTTTTATTTTGTGTCTTTAAAATTTTTTTGGTTGATAAATTTATTTTTCATATTTTAAAATTATTTATTTTATATTTTAAATTAAAAATATTGTTTTAACTAAAAAACCTCTTGATTTTTCAGTAAACTATACAGTCTGCCTTATTTTTTTAAAAAATTAAGTGTCGAGGCTCAGATAAAAAAAAAAAACGAAGGCCCACGCACGTGGGCTTTTATATTACTGGATCAAGCGTGCTTGTCCACCCAGTCCCAGGCAGGTCCAGTAGTCTCTAATAAGTGCCCTCGTGCATTGCTATGCATATATTCTCACCTCGTCGCCCGAAATTATTTAATTTATTTTTTTCCTCGTTTAATTTGTGATATTCAATTTGATTTCGGCTCAAAATTCATAGAAGGTTCAGAATTCCCTGAAAACTTTGAAAAAAAAAAAAACAATAAAATCACAGCTTGCTTCAAGAGGTAATCTTTTTTTTCCTCCTCACGCGAAGTTTGAATAAAGAAGGTTTTCAATTTTGTAACTAGTAAGAGTTAGTTATGGCGGAAAATCACAAGAAAGCTGCGGGTCGCCTGTGTTACCTCTGTAACCAAAGAAGGGCTGCCCTTAAAAGACCTAAAACCCTAGAGCAGGTAAATCCAATTTTTTT